ATATAATTGTCATTCCAACACATATTCAAGAGATATACAACTAATTTGATCTATTTGAAAGAGTAACTGGAAACAGTTAAAGAAGTAGAGAAAATGGACGGATTTTTAAGCCTGATTTTGATTCTGTGACTGCCACACTCTATGCTGGAATTACCTCTTTCACATTCAAGGTTCATCGGCAAACGCCTGGCTTGCCAAATTCATTCACGACATCAAGTGCAGGGACGTTAACAAAATAATTATTGTGCTGGGATAATTATCACCAAAAATGAAATCAATTCCATTTAAAAGTGCTTCTCATGGGTCGAACAGACAATCAAGTGATATACATAATTGTACACAGTGTGCCAGTACAATTTAATCTTTACAACTGACAATCCGTAATTTTAGCTAAACAATTAAAAGACGTAGTAATTATGTCAAAAAGAAGACGATCACAACAAACCATTACAGATTAACATAAAGCATGGTTGTGGAAAAATAAGATGGTTTGAAACTGCACCAAAAAATCCCATATCTAGGCACACACCGTGCAACATTCTTTATCAGAAAAAAAAGCAAAATAAACAGCCGATTCTGGTAAAAACTCCTAACTACACAACCACCCTATACACTGTATGTACACCTGTAAGATCTGTGATTGAAGAAAAAAGAAAAATATGGAAATGTCAACTTATAAATGGCAATTCAATCCTACAACGGGTCAGAACCAGAGGACTACAAAAGGATATCGTGTAAGAGCAAAGAGAGGGGCAAAGTTTCCCATATCAAAGATGAGCTTTTCAAATAAATGTAGCGGAATACATGTACTCCTACATCATTATCCAAGCAGGGCGAAATGTTGCCTTATTTTATAGAGACATGGACGTCATTGAAAATTATGCGGAGGAAATCATCTTCAACATCAAACAACATTCTCCGGGAACCAAAGTATATTTTCCCTAAGTATTACCAAGACGGGATGTTGATGAATCGCATTTGAATACCACTCCTAAATATATATGATAGTGTTAAAATGTAGATGTCGTACTTCATATAAACTCATAATTGATATTTTATTATGGTATCGTTGGCTCAATTCTTTTAATTAATTCTTTCATTATGCATGTGCTTCATTTATTGTAAATAAATATATTTTCTAACAATGCAAACAGTACGTATATTTAAAAAGAATTGCACTGGCTTAGAGTAAAAGACCCCTTTTATTTTGACCTTCAAAACTAAGATGCCCATTACCCGTTGATTCAAAGTTAATGTTCCTAAAGATGAAAATATCTTGAATATTTCACGTTGTTTCAACGTTAAATCAACAAACATTCAACGTTGCATTTTAAAACATTGTTCAATTAAATAAAATAATAGAGGAATACTCAACATTTAAATATGTTGAATCTTCAACGTTGTTTAAACGTGGAAATATCAACAAACAACAAACGTTGAAAATATTTTGCAGTTTAAACGTTGTTTCAACGTTCATACATTGACAATCATTCAATGTTGAAAGTATGTTGCAGCTTTTACGTTGTTCCAACGTTGCAATATCGACGAATATTTTACGTTGAAAATATGTTGCATCAAAAAAAGGTTGAGGATTCAACGTTGAAACATAGTTTCTCAACGTTGCAACTTATATTCCACCTCCTTTTAACGTTGAAACAACGTTGCATGACCAGGAGTCAAGTCAGTAGAGTATGCTAGGACGTTAACGGTGTTGGAAGCATGGGATAAATTATGTTTAGCGAACTTTGCTAACGTTTTCAGTGAAGAAATAGAGCTGGTTTCATAGCACCTAACGGATTACACTGTTTGTGACATGCTGACGGTTCGCTTGTCGAGAAATTTAAATACTATGTCACATTCTCGCCACAACAAAGAAAGTAACCGAGATCGCTTCTCTCCCACGCTAAAGTCGGTCAGCTGTTATACACATCGCTTATCCCCCCCTTTTTTCAATTTGCTTCCGACGCCTATGAAGTGAAAGACTTGAGAACTAAGAATACATGGATTTTTTTTTTATACATGTATGTCCCAAACAACCGTATTATATCAGTATATTATGTACTTTAATTATCCATATGTGTATAAACGAACATTTCTGTCAAGAATAGAGGTATTCAAAATTGTCATTAATTATGTCAAAATACTAAATTAGAACATGTACATATTCTTGTTTAGAGAAAATATACACTGAATATATGTATTCTCTCTCTCTCTCTCTCTCTCTCTCTCTCTCTCTCTCTCACAATTTTGAGGGCTGCGTACGCAGAGATTAATATGCGATTCAATTTATTTTTTTCCGATCTATTGTGCCATGTTTTATCTAATACGACGTTTGGAGGAAATGGTTTCCAAAATATTTATCACCGATTCATACTTGAAATGGAATATTTGTATTGTACTAACGCAATCGAACTACAATGAAAATGAATGAACATACAATGTGTGAGTAAAGGGGTGCGTACGTAGGAGAGAGGCTAGTGAAATTCGTTTCAGATTTTTTTCATATCTTCATGTAAGTCAGGGACGGATAACTTTTCTGTGCATCTGAAAAAAGTTTGACAAGCCAAAGATAAAGGGAAACTACATTTTGGGTGGGTTGGGGGGTAAGAAGTACTATCAAAGGACATTCATTTTTTTGCTGGTCGAGGATAAATTTATTTTCCGAGAACAGCTTATTTATTTTCAAAATCTGCCATCTGCCATTATTATAACTTAAAAATAAATTGAACTTCAATCGATAAATTTTTTAGGTAAATGCACACGTCTCCCCGGCCTTAAAATTCCCTATTTACCATTTCTCTCAAATATACGCTTAGAGAGAGTCTCTTCATTTTCAACAGTATATACTACAATCTCAAAATGCATAACTATGAGTAACTAATTAATCCAATTAATGAATCATGCCCTACTTGATTTTTATACATGTACGCAAATATGAACAAGAGGCCCATGGGCCCAGTTGTTCTTCCCATTGTGGCCTCGCCCAATCTCCGTGGGTCATGAATTGAACAATCTAGAATCTACACTACCCCAGTGGTTCTTTAGAAGAACATTTTTTTTAAAGACCCCACCCTATTTTTGTCTTTTCTTAATTATCTCCCCTTGTGGGAAGACCTGGCCCTTCATTTTAAAAATTATAATTTCCCTTAACCAAAGGATCCCTTGTACCAAGTTTGGTTAAAATTAACCCAGTGGTTCTTGAGAAGAAGTAGAAAATGTGAAAAGTTTACGGACGGACAGACGGACAGCTAGACAGACAGACGGACGGACGGACGGACGACGACAAAATGTGATCAGAAAAGCTCACTTGGGCCGTCGTATTTTTATCGGAAATCTAAGGCGACCGCTTTTTTGAAACATTTTGTTTTTATATATTACTTTTTATTACTTTGAATTTGACTCCACATCATTTCCCTCACCTACTCCAAAGGGTACTCAAGATTTGAACACATTTAAATCTTTAATACATGTGGATGCTTACATGTCAACAGGACATAGTTTTTCTGTTATTGAGATTTTTCCCTTTATTTTCCTACGTAAAACTTTGATCCACCATTTAGACCCTTCCCTGACCTTGGAGGTTATGATTTGAACAAATTTAATTCCACACTACCTGGGGATGCTTCAATATACATATCACTAAGCATGGCTTTGCCATTCTTTAGAAAAATATTTTTTAAAGTTTATTTTAATGTAAAACCTGGTGCCCCATTGTGGCCCAACCATATCCCTGGGGATTATGATTTGAACAAGCTAGAATCTACAGTATCTGAGGATGCTTCCATAAAATATCACTTATCATGGCTTTGCAGTACTTGAGAAGATTTTTTTTAAAGATATCACTATATATTCCTATGTAAAACTTTGATGAGCTATTGTGGCCCCACCCTACCCCTTGGGGTCATGTTTTTTGAACAAACTTGAATGTACACTACCTGAGGATGATTCAACACGAGTCTCCACTTGAACAAACTTTATTGTACACTATCTGAGGGTGATTTAACATGAGTTTCATCTTTCTTGTCCTATTTGATCTTGAGAAGAAGATTTTTAAAGATTTTTCCTGTATATTCCTATGTAAATCTTTGATCGGCCATTGTGGTCCCACCCTACCCCTCGGGGGTCATGATTTGAATAAATGTGATCGTACACTATCTGAGGATGATTCAACATGAGTTTCATCTTTCCTGTCTCAATTGATGTTTAGAAGAAGATTTTTAAATATTTTCTATATATTCCCATGTAAAACTCTGATCGGCATTTTTAGCCCCACCATTGACCCAGGGGTTATTATTTAAACAAATCTAAATCTACATACTTGAGGATGATTCCACATGATTTTCATCTTTCCTGGTCCAGTGGATCTTAAAAAAAAGATTTAAATACCATCAATTTTGCACTAATTCATAATTATCTCCCCTTGGAAGAAGGCTTGGCCCTTCATTTGAACAGTGGGTCTTGAGAAGAAGATGAGAATGTGAAAAGTTTACAACGACGACAACGCCAAAGACAACAGACAACGGACAAATTTTGATCAGAAAACCTCTCTTGAGCCTTCGGCTCAGGTGAGCTAAAAAGCGTAAACTGCTACAAACGAAGGTTATACAAGTATAACGTGGGCTGCTTTTTGATTCTTTACTTATCATTCAAATTTCAATCATAAAGTATAGAAAAAAGACAATTTTTCCCTTTAAAACGCCTTCAAATTTTCATATTTACAACGTAACGTACGTCAAGCGGATTGATATAATTTTGATGCAATTTTTGTCAAATCAAATGACGCGTTACAAACAAAATTAAATTATAGCTGTGAGCCTATGTTTTATCGAATTCTTTAAATTATATTGAAATGAAGGCCATTACTATGGATACAGGTAAGTTATAAATGTTTAATGTAAATATTTGTAGAGAAGAGCATTATTCCCTTGTCTAGGAATTCAGATTAAAATTTCGATTAATAATCATTTATAGAGTTTACAATATATTGTACAGAAAATGACAAGTGCCCTAAGGACTGGAATAAATATGGAAACAATTGTTACAAGCGTTTATATTCTTCACTTGGATGGACCAATTCGCAGGTAAAATATTATTCCTAATATATTATCATTTCACGCATTTTGAGAAGCAGCCTTTTCTAATTTTCTCTTTGATATATCATTTTAATTTTGTTTCAATCTCGAAATTAAAAAAACAACAAAGATTAACTTTGATTATAACTTACCTTGCTAAGAGGTCAAAGAGTACAGGAATATTGATTTTATTTTCTTTATTTAACTGGGAAGATTTTTTTTAAACTGTTGAACTTTCAACAATACACATATGCCTATTACAATTTCTTTAGAAAGCGTGTGGCAAATTGGGTGCAACATTGGCTCAGATAAATAGCGAGGATGAAAACGTGTGGCTTTCAAAGACATTTAGTGGTAATTATTAGTTTTAGAGCCAAAACTTTCAAGAAATACGTTTGGAGACATGGGAAAGTTGACAATAAAATAGTTGGGACACTGTTTAATATATAAAAACGCTCTTAAAGATTTGCAAAATATCTTATCATAAATAAAGCATAAACAATGTAGTTTCCTCCTTATTTCCATAGGATTGGACGCTTGGATCGATGCTACAGATTTCCCAAATGAAGGGGAATGGAGATGGTACTCAACCGAAAAATTGGTCAAATACACTGCTTGGAACGATAAAGAACCGAATAACGCAGGGCGGAGAGAGCATTGTGCACACGTCTTCCTGTTCAAAAGGAAAGCTTTGTGGAATGACGATATTTGTACAGACAGGCGACAGGCTCTGTGCATGAAAAAAGCAGCATGACAGAATTAAGGTAAGCAGATGAGAAATGATGATTTTTCGATACAATTACTTATTGTTGAAGTTTATTCTATATAGATCGACAAATACATGAATGTCATTATGATCGCATCAAATTAAAATCATTAATCGAAATAAATTAAGTCGATTTTATTTGATAGTATTTGTAATTCAAATTCAAATTACATTCAATTTTAATCACAAAATAAATACATTAATACATGAATACACATTCTGAATCAAACTGTAAATGTCTTTGTAAGCATTTTAGTGATAAAGTTCATGTTTTCTATCTTTTTTTCAGGATATACAAAGAAATGATATTATAAGACCATTGTCGTGTATTGCTAAAAATAAATAAAATGAAATTACTATTTGTACTTTCTTTTTTGTTAGATTTGAAATGAGCTCATTTAATCCAAGAAAAAAAAATGGCTTAAAAAATCATTAATTTAATAAGTAAATTCATTATATTTGAAATGAAGTTGTACTGAATATATAAATTCTCCCTAAGAATGTCACAGAAGTTTTTCATAAAGTTATAAACATTTTTGAAGATTTCAATTGAACATAACATATGTAGAGAATCTCAAATATGAAGGACATCTTAGGATTTCTCAGTATTTTAGAAGTTAAAAGTGTCAATTAAAACAAAAGTTATTTAAACAATAAAAATGTAGACATAAATAGGTCTTTACACTTTAATCAGGTGCAACCCAGCAGAAAGCATCCCCCTGTCGACCAAACACATCGATTGTATGCTCATGTTCATAGAAAATTCGATATTAAATAAGGGTCAAGGAATGATTATGAATAATGTTAGTCAATCTAATATGACAAAACATGGTTTTGCTGTTCTTAAACCTTCTATTTTATTAAGTAGATTCAATTCTAGTCGACATTTAGTCGAAAGTCATCTTACATGGTAGGCATTATTCAGATTTAGATTTTTGTATGTTTCACTCATAAAAATTTGAGTTCAATTTTTTATATAGTACCATCGAAATAAAAGCAAATGAAATAGAAATATGCGTAAATTATTCCGAATTTTATTCGTGCGCCGAATCGTCCAAGTATTATTAATATGAACGATATATATTTCAGAATTCATAATTTTAAAGAACATTGAATATATATTAGCTCTATGCAAAATTTTGTTGTACTGATTGCATGTTAATAAAGTTAATAACGTTGTCTACGACTTTTAGGGACAACCCTCGTATATCTAAGAAAGAGTGAACTCCCCAAATGGAATAGGAATCAAATGTATTATCTATAAATTACAGCTATTACGATTTAGAACAACAAAATTGACTTGAATGAATTCATCTTTAAATATCTACAAAAACTCTGCATGTGTATTTGAAAAAAAACGCACAGCTACAATGTAATAATTTTATAGAATTACATGATTTCTAATTTGCTTTCTAAGATATATTTCAAAGCTAGTGATTTTTATTGCTACCACATTTTTTTTAGAATAAACGATATGGGTAGTATTATTTTATGTGGTAATTTATTTAGTTTAACATGTTCAAGAAAGTAATACTTTCTTAAGAGAGACCGTCAGGAAAATTGTACAGGGCGTGTTACCAATGTTAATCCCGTTAGTATTATTCAAACAAATTCCCAGTTATTCCTAGGCCTAGATAAATTTACATAAGAATAGGAGCCGGCAAAACTAAAAAAAAAAAAAACATCAATTTAAGAAAATTGAAGGTGCTCATGACTTCAGACTTTGATTGTTATTTATGACAAAAAATGTAAATAGCTACATAAGTAAAATATAAATACTGATAGTAAACTGTGGTTAGGCAATCTTTAAAACATTGTCCTCTTCCGACTGACAAAATCCATCCCGCACTGAAAGAAATACCTAGTTGATTTAACTAGTGTTCCTAGTAAAGTGCTCTTCGTGATTAGTGATCACTCTGTATACTGGCTAAGGTAGTAAAAAGTGGAGTGGTGGTCATATAGATACTAAGATACCTAGTGAAAGTTACTTATAAATTCTAAGATTTACTAATGTTATCTTAGTAAATCTACCCATTTTCCAGTAAAACTATTTTTGAGGTAGTGATTGTATGGACAGTAAATTTACTAGTCTTCCCGGTGACTTTCACTAGTTTATTTTTTTTCAGTGCGTCGCAAAACCTTCTTGATCTCCGGGAATGAATGTTTTTTTTTTTCTAATTTTTCATTTATTAATATCTTTTTGGTTTCTTTTCTTAAGCTCTTTTAAACAAACAAAATTCTAGCTACACATGTACCTGCCAATTTTTTGTCCTGAGTCGGGAGAGGACACGCAAACATTTTTGAAATAATAGCATCCTTAGTCTATTCTATAGGTTCTAATTTTTTTCTTTAAGGTAACGTTTCCCATAGACACTTCATTTTACAATCACACAAGTTGTTTTGTGTCACTTATAATGTTTGTATCACTTAAGACTCTGTAAGCATTTCGCTAATGATACCCCTGCCTCCAATATGATTATAATGGGAAAATTGCATGTATTACTCATACATGTAAATAACTCGGACGGGCAAAGGGAAGTAACTCTACAATAAATTTAAGACAAAATACGAATATAATGGCAGTGTCCATCTTTTGCTATGGAAAACCCAAATTATTTGTCGGATCAAAAAGCAAAATAAGATGTGCACAATGGCAATATGTAGTAAAGATTCTGTGAATGTTTCACCAAATTTCATTCAGTGGTATGAGAGGAGTTGCAGATAATAAATTACCCCAAAAGCGTAACACACGGACGGACGGGAAGTAGCTAGACGGACGGACATTGCGATTACATGTGTTTTATAACCTCCCTCTTGAAAAGCGAGATGTTTAATAATTAGACATCAGAGACATGAAGATTCATGAGAGATGAAATACAAAAGATGTCTAAAACAATTTATTTCATGTTTCATGTTTATGTTGTTCTGAATGCCTTATGGGATATAGAGACCCACTTAATTTATAACATAAACCGTGTCTTGAGTAATACAGCTTATTGTCTTTGACGTGGGGCTTGGACTGTAGTAAATTTTGAATACTAGCATTTAAAATCAACTTTAAAATATTTTTGAGCGTTTTGGAGCCACCTCAGCCCTAGAAACATTTTCTTTTTTTTTTTTTACTTTTTTTTTAAACTTAAACATACATTTTAAACAGAAAAGTAATGAATAAGCAAAAGTGAAAATAAAAAAAGCTTTTTCCAGAAAGTGTATGTACTGGAAAGTGAACATCAAAAACATTTTTGTGAGATCCATTTTTTTTACTTCTATTTAACTTAAACATACATTTAAAACAGAAAAATAATGAATAAGCATAAGTTAGAATTAAAAAAAACCTTTTTTCCAGAAAATGTATGCATTGCATGGAAAGGAATTGTTAAAAACATTTTTGTAAGATCCACCATTTTTCTCAACATAGTGTATTATTTTGGGAATATCCTGATATACAGTGTCAAGTTCCTTTCCAAAACTAATAATTTTGTATATCGCAGGACGAAAATGAATACAGGAATATATGATGAAAATAACACAA